AACATTTAGTGTGTGTGTGTGTGTGTGTGTGTGTGTGTGTGGCCAGCTCAGCCCACCAGGGGGCGCGGTTGGCTGGCATGTGGTGCTGGAGGATTGAACCGCGGTCCCTGTGCTTTGCAAAGCTTGTTCCAAGTAGGTGCTTTAGACCACTGAGCCATCTCTCCAGCCCCCCCCCCTTTTTTTTTTTGGCAGAACCGGGGATTGAACTCAGATCCTTGCATTTGCCAGGCAAGCGCTTATCCTACTGAGCCATCTCCCCGGCCCCTCAGACTCCCCTAGTTGCTGTCTTTCCTCCAAGTAGTGGACCGTCCTGCAACTGACCCATGTGGGGGCAACAGCAAAGGCCCATAGCAGCCCGCAGGTCGGGGGAGCCGCCCGAGCGACCCACTTCCAGCAGGAACGACATGGAGGCTGTGAATTGTCATCAGGGTCCTACACAGATGTTGAGCACCCCGGGAATCAAATTAAATCGTCCTGGCAAAATCCAAGAAGGAAGGGGGTAAATCTGGGAAGGAGCGACCTGACTGCGGCAGACCCACGCGGCGGGCGAGACTCGGGGCCCCAGGGAAGCGTCGCCCTGAGCCACACCCGAGCCGGCAGGGTGACTTAAACAGCGCGCCAAGAAGCGCTGCTATCAAAACATGAGCTGGCAAGAGTGCTGCTCATACTGAAGCCCTGCTCCTGACCTGCTCCCTCTGAAAACTCCCTGCCTGGCTGGGTCCTCGCCCACACCTCGTGGCGCCACCCACTGCCTCTGCCAGCCCTGTGGCCCAGCACAGGATCCGAATTTTAGCCCTCTCCCAGCATGGTCACATTTTAATTCATGACTTTCTCTAAATGACCAATTACAAAGATTCAGGTAGAATCTACTATGACATTTTACATCTGAGGTTCTATGAAGACACCGGCCAGGAGGGGTGGTGTGGCTAAGAGCGCAGGCTCAGAGACACTGTTTTGGGCCAAGCGTTGGCCTCTGCCCACTATGACAGTGGGGGTGCCTATCCCGCGGGTGGCCACAGACTCGCTGAGCCCACTGGCCTCAAGCCACACAACTCAAGTAATGGAAAACATTTCAAGCCAGGCACAACTGAGTGCCCAGTCCTCCAACTGACAGGCTGCACTCCCAGGGTCGCAGGAGTGATTGTGCAGACCTAGGGCAGGGCACCCTGCTGGGAACGGGAGCCAGGGAGTTAGCACCATCAAGTATGCATTACTCTGGCTAGGCACAGCCCATTTTATTTATCAACGCAGAGCTGGCATTTATTACAGTCAGGCGCTGTTGCAGGCAGCGATGGGCCAAGCCACGCGATGACAGCACGTGCAAGATCCCCCGACACTGTTGAGAAACACAGTGAACACCTACCTCACCTGTGGGATGCCGGCAAATTGGCAGCACAATTCACCCTCCAATTAACCTTGTGTAAGACTGGGCCACGTTCCTGTGACCACACTCCTGCCTTGAGGTCCTTAGCTGAACTGATCACTAAAGGACGACTTGTGTACAGTTGTATACAATACTTAAAACAAAGAAACGGTCAAGGGAAACTCTAGCTTGATGACTGTGTTTTGACCTGCAGAAGTCTTACACGTAGCACCATACTGTACAAGAGAACCTAAACCTACAACGCTGTGGGTACAGGAAAGGCACTGAGGCTGGTTCACAGACACCCAGAACCGTGCAAAACAAAGGACAGGCCTAAGTCCTCACAGCATGCTTCAGCTGAGCTCTGAAGCTCTGTAAACAGGTCATTAAATGGACAATTATCTATATTTGATAGTGTTACTAATTATTTTATTTTTTTGGTGGAACCAGGGATTGAACTCAGGCCCTTGTGCTTGCCAGACAAGTGCTTATTCTACTAAGCTATCTCCCCAGCCCAATAGTTATTAATGGTTTGTGTATTTACTACACTTTATTATAGATATTTCAGCATATATTCCCCCCCCCCCGCATGAAGGGTTAAATTTAGGGCTTTCATGGGAGCTACATTCCCAGTCCTTTTTACTTTTTACTCTGAGACAGGGTCTTTCTACTTGAACTTGGAATTTTTCTGCCTCAGCTTCCTAGAGTGTTGAGATTACAGACCTGTGTCCCCATGCCTAACAACAAATACTCCTACTGAAGAAAAATGCTGACTGTGAAACAAGCTTATGTTGGTCTTTCAAGGAGTATTCCAGAAGGTACTATTTAGGAAACTTAAGATGCAGAGGACGGTACTACTGATGACCCTGACCCTACGTAGGCCTGAGGGAATGTGTAGCTGTGTAGTAATTTTGTTGTAGCTGTTGTTCTGAGACAAGGTCTCAAGAAGCTCAGGCTGGCCTTGAACTCAAAGTGATCCTCCTGCCTCAGCTTCAAGTCTTGCTATTACAGGTCTGTATGCTATCATGCCTGGCTAGGGAGCATTTTAAGTTTTCGGAAGAGGGTAGAACTGACACAGAGTGTCTTTATCTTGAAGGGGAAAATGGAGGAATAGGAGTATCTTTGTTCTTACTAATGCACTCCAGCCTTAAAAGGAGATTTGAACTGAGCACAGGGGGGCATGCTGGTAATGCTAGCACTGGGGAGGCTGAGGCAGGACTGCCACCAGTTGGAGGCCAGCATGGACTGTATACCCACACCTCATCTCCAAAAGGAAAAAAAAATAATTACAGCAAATTCCAGATTTGTTCTGTCCTATGTTAATTCTTTCATGTGATAAACTTATAATTTTCAAAAAACAATTACTGTTGCTCCACAGTATCCGTGGGGGAGCCAGCCTCACAGATGTCCAGTCCTGCTGTGCAGTGATGCGGGGCGGCACAGAACTGGGCACAGCTTCCCACGTGCACAGCACGCTCACACTGGGTGCTCCGAGTGGCACTCGACGGTCCCACGTTCTGGGGCTGAGCTGTGTGTGCCCTTCTGTTATATAAAAAGTCACTACTAGTTCACAGATTATACTCAGTGGTAAATTTTTTATTATTCCTTTGTTGTTCCTTGGGGGCTCTTATTTTTGTTTGTAATAATATATAATTTTCTGACTACATGTATGTACATTATAACTTATTCATTTATCTTTTATTTTTTCACTTATTCATTTTTCTTTCTTTTTTTTTCTTTTCTTTTTTTTTTTTTTTTTCAGAACCAGGGATTGAACTCAGGCCTTTGTGCTTGCCAGGGAAGCATTTATTCCACTGAGCCATCTCCCCAGCCCCCCTCATTTTTCAATTTTAAGAGTATATAAACTTTACAATTTTTTCCATCAGAGTATCAAGCAGAAAATGGAAGATTCAGTAGATGTCTTTAATCATATCGCATCAGAGAAAAAGGTCACAACCTATTACTCTCAAGATGAAGATGCCTTAGAGTTAGGTGAATGCAATTTTTGCTTTTTAGACAAATGTAATCTTGTGGTCAGTATGCTCACTGAACATAGTGCATATGTGGCTATGAACGCGGAGGATTCTGAGGAAAAACGGCAGCTGACAACATGAAGAAATGTGCTAGAACACTCGCACAAAGGCCAGCACTTCAGTAGCTGAAGTAGGAGGAGCCCCTCGACTTGGAGGCCAGCCTGGGCTACCTAGTGAGTCCAAGGCCAGCCTGAACTACAAGGAGAGTCTAAAACCAAATCAAACCGAACCGAACCAAAACAAGAACACAAGCACAGGGAACTGCAAAATGCAGAACTTCTATTGTGGTTTTTTTTGGCGGAACCAGGGATTGAACTCAGGCCCTTGTGCTTGCCAGGGAAGCGCTTATTCCACTGAGCCATCTCCCCAGTCCCAAAAAATGGAATAAGGATTTTTTGTTGTTGTTGTTCCTCGAATGCCTTCAGGGCACTTTTGGCCAGCGGGAGAGTTGTGAGGTTCGAACTCCAGCAACCTGAGGCTGACAGCTTTGTGGAAGCAGCCACTTAAAGGCCTGAGCTAGGGCCAGGCCCCCCTAAACTTTATGTATTTATTTTTATTTATTTTTTTTTTTTGGCGGAACTGGGGATTGAACTCAGGCCCTTACGCTTTCCAGGGAAGTGCTTATTCTATTGAGCCATCTCCCTGGCCCAGAACTTCTAATAAATATTAGTTGCGATCTTTTTGTGTTGTATAAATTATTCACTTGATAATCTATTCAAAATTATAGCTGAAGACACAGGTGTTACACAATGTGGCTTCGGTGGAAAAAGAAAACACCAGCAATCCTAGGAATCTGTTATACTTAGCAAGATGAAACTCTTTACCAGAATGTTATTAATTACGGGGACAGTACCATCACCAGACATTAATGATAGGTTATGGACGGAGTACAGACTGCTACATTGTCACGGCCCTGAGCCAACACGGCTGAATCCCCAAACAGCAGCCTATCTCCCCAGTGACCACTTCCTCCTCCTTCCCCACTGCAGCCCTGGATGCAGCTTCCGGCCCACAAGGCGCCTCCAATCAGCTTCGTGTGTGTGAACCTGCCCCTCAAGCTCCGCCCCCAGCAGAAGTCCCTAAAGTCCCAGGCTCCCATCTCTC